ATGAATTACGAATAAATTACTGCATAAAATACAGTAATCATAATTTGTCTTAACCTAATACATCTATTAATACATATTACCCATTTTATGGTTAGTCTTTATAATACAAAAATGACTGTAATATGTTTCAAGCCTAATACCATAACTGTAGCATAATACAGTATTATTTTGTTACTACTTTTATTAAAACTAATATTATTGCTCCTGTATACACTATTTTTTTTTAATTATTAAATTCTTTTGAGCAAAAAAAATGAACCGGGTCTCCCGGAACCCGTTTTCTGTGAACCATCATCATTTCCAAGCGAAGCTGGGCGCTGGGGAGGGCAGCGCTATTGGCCCTACCCACCGTAAGGGCCAGATTCCCAGCTCGTGTCCCAGAACTCCTACTCTAGTTGCACGTGTGTCTTAGCAGCCTCCTGCCCCGCGGCCAGTCTGGTGGACGATGACACTTTGATTTATTGACACCCACTTGGAGATGTTGATGTCTCATTTAGAGATGTTAGAGACCCTGAACATTATCTCCACATCTGTCCTGAGGGTCTCCTGGGGTCTCCCTTCTGGGGTCTCCCTTCTGGGGTCTCCCTTCTGGGGTCTCTCTCTTGGGGTCTCTCTTCTGGGGTCTCTCTTCTGGGGTCTCTGTTCTGGGGTCTCTCTCTTGGGGTCTCTTTCCTGGGGTCTCTCTTCTGGGGTCTCTCTCTTGGGGTCTCTCTCTTGGGGTCTCTCTTCTGGGGTCTCTCTTCTGGGGTCTCTCTCCTGGGGTCTCCCTCCTGGGGTCTCTCTCTTGGGGTCTATCTCCTGGGTCTCTCTCCTGGGGTCTCTCTCCTGGGATCTCTCTCCTTAGGGTCTCCCTTCTGGGGTCTCCCTTCTGGGGTCTCTCCTGGGGTCTCTTGGGGTCTCTCTCCTGGGGTCTCCCTCCCTCCTGGGGTCTCAGGGAGAGGCTGGGACCCCAGTACACTGCATCATTCTAGGGTAGCAAGTTTCTGCCCTACAGACCTCACCATTCGGGACCACCCAGAGACACTGTTCTGGAAGGGTGTTGCACAGCTGCACAGTTGCACAGCTGCACCGGAAATCATTAAACACTAAACATGACCACTTACGAAACCTGTACATCTTTCCATAATCCTGGCGGCTTTGTTTACGTATAATAAACAGTTTATGCGCCCCGAAGCACTTGGCGGTTGTTTATAACAATAACAACATTATTGTTGGGAAGTTTCGATGCTTGTAAATTCCCCACCACGTAGGTCGGCCGAGCGGACAGCACGCGGGACTTGTGATCCTGTGGTCCCGGGTTCGATCCCAGGCGCCGGCGAGAAACAATAGGCAGAGTTTCTTTCACCCTATGCCCCTGTTACCTAGCAGTAAATTGGTACCTCAATGGGCTGCTTCCTGGGGGTGGAGGCCTGGTCGAGGACCGGGCCGCGGGGACACTAAAAAGCCCCGAAATCATCTCAAGATAACCTCAAGATAGGTGGTGGGGAGGGGAGGGGGGGAAGAGACTGATACATTTTCAGAGAGAAGAGGTAGAGGGGGAAACTGGGGGGGGGGAGGGTGAGGACCAAGTGGGTGGGGGAGATGGCAGATGACGGGTGGGAGAAGATACAGCCTATCCCGGGCACCGCCGGGTACCCCTTGGGTGTATGTGTGTGTGTAAAGACGCAGTCTCAAGACGAAGAAGCAGTTAGAAGACAATGTTGCTTGCGCCGACTGAGTTGCTGAACCGGATCAGAGCCGGATCAAAACAAGAGAGGAGTTCGGTTCATCCCTGGCACTCGATCCTCTATTCCACTACACATACTCGTCTTACTCACTATGCTTATCCTATCCCCCACGTTATGCCTCACCCCTTAATGCCTCTCTTGGGGTGCTCTTCCCCATACATGTTGACCCATATGCCCAGCCTCCCCACGTGGGGAGGGGGGGGACATGGGGAAGGCCCAGGGAGACATCCACACAGGACCAACCTTCCCTGGACCAAATATGAGACGATACGACGGTAATTAAACTATGTTAATTTGTCAAAGTAGTTTTCAGAATGTTACCATTGATTCTGGTCTTATTTACCCGACTGGTCGACCAGTCTTACCCACCGTGTTGTTCTCTTGGTCGACCAGTCTTACCCACCGTGTTGTTCTCTTGGTCGACCAGTCTTACCCACCGTGTTCTTCTCTTGGTCGATCAATCTCACCCACCGTGTTGTTCTCTTGGTCGACCAGTCTTACCCACCGTGTTCTTCTCTTGGTCGACCAGTCTTACCCACCGTGTTGTTCTCTTGGTCGACCAGTCTTACCCACCGTGTTCTTCTCTTGGTCGACCAGTCTTACCCACCGTGTTGTTCTCTTGGTCGACCAATCTCACCCACCGTGTTGTTCTCTTGGTCGACCAGTCTTACCCAGCGTGTTCCCAGCCTGGTCGACCAAGTTCCTCACCAAATACCCGTCTCCCAGACCATTATCGAGCTGAAAATCGATTAACATGTCATAGCCACGGAATCTAAATGACAGAGCTAAGCATTACCATACAGGACCCATCAGCCTCTATGACGTCCCCATCTGTCGTGGTGACCTCTGGCAGGAGTCCTCGAGTCCTGGGACCTCTGGCAGGAGTCCTCTCCCCAGTCCTCGAGTCCTGGGACCTCTGGCAGGAGTCCTCTCACCAGTCCTCGAGTCCTGGGACCTCTGGCAGGAGTCCTCTCCCCAGTCCTCGAGTCCTGGGACCTCTGGCAGGAGTCCTCTCCCCAGTCCTCGAGTCCTGGGACCTCTGGCAGGAGTCCTCTCCCCAGTCCTCGAGTCCTGGGACCTCTGGCAGGAGTCCTCTCACCAGTTCTCGAGTCCTGGGACCTCTGGCAGGAGTCCTCTCACCAGTCCTCGAGTCCTGGGACCTCTGGCAGGCGACATAGTCCGGGGACCTGCAGACCTCGCTACTTTACATTTGAGAAATCTGTGGAATCGAGCTATTAGCTCTTGGACCCCGCCTTTCTAACCAAACTATTTTTCCTCTATTATATCTACTACATATATTTCTCTAACACACACACACACACACACACACACACACACACACACACACACACACACACACACACACACACACACACACACACACACACACACACACACACATTGTGTGTTTGTGTGTGTGTGTATTGTATTGTAGGAGTGTGTATTGGATAGTGTATTGTATTGTGAGGATTGTTGGATCCTCCAAGAGGACTTGAACGGGTTGCAGAGATGGTCAGAGAAATGGCTACTGGAGTTCAACACGAGCAAATGTAAAATTATAGAAATGGGACTAGGTGATAGGAGACCAAAGGGTTAGCACAGAATGAAGGGGAACTGCCTACCTCTGACGATTCGAGAAAGAGACCTGGGAGTGGACGTAACACCAAATCTAACTCCCGAGGCACATATAAATAGGATAGCGACAACAGCGTACTCTACACTGGCAGAACATCATTCAGAAACCTAAGTGAGGAGGATTTTAGGGAGCTTTACACTGTCTACGTGAGGCCAGTTTTAGAGTATGCCACCTCATCATGGAGTCCCCATCTGAAGAAACACATAAGGAAACTGGAAAAGGTTCAGAGGTTTGCGACGAAGCTTGTCCCAGAGTTACGAGGGATGGGATATGAAGAGCGCCTGAAGGAACTGAACCTTACGACACTAGAAAAAAGAAGGGAAAGGGGGAGGGGGGATTATGATAGGAACGTATAAAATACTCAGGGGGATTGACAGAGATTAAATAGACGAAATGTTCACATTGAATAATAACAGAACGAGGGGACATGGGTGGAAACTGGAAACTCAGATGAGTCACAGAGATGTTAGGAAGTTATATTTTAGCGTGAGAGCAGTGGGAAAATGGAATGCACTTAGCAGGTTGTGGAAGCAAACTTTGTTCATAGTTTTAAAACTAGATATGATAGGGAAATGGGACAGGAGTCATTGCTGTAAACAGCCGATGGCTGGAAAGGCGGGATCCAAGAGTCAATGCTCGATCCTGCAAACACAAATAGGTGAGTATAAATAGGTGCGTACATCCCCAGGAAGCAGCCCGTAGCAGCTGTCTAACTTCCAGGTACCTATTTACTGAATGGTGACCTGGTGCATCAGGGTGAAGGAAACTCCGCCTATTTGTTTCCGCCTCATCCGGGAATCGAACCCGAGCCGTTAGGACTACGACCCCAAAGCTCTGTCCACTCAGCCGTGAGGCCCATGTGTGTGTGTGTGTGTGTGTGTGTGTGTGTGTGTGTGTGTGTGTGTGTGTGTGTGTGTGTGTGTGTGTGTGTGTGTGTGTGTGTGTGTGTTTACTAGTTGTGTATTTGCGGGGGTTGAGCTTTGCTCTTTCGGCCCGCCTCTCAACTGTCAATCAACTGTTTACTAACTACTTTTTTTTTTTTCCCCACCCCACACACACACACACCCCAGGAAGCAGCCTGTGACAGCTGACTAACTCCCAGGTACCTATTTACTGCTAGGTAACAGGGGCACTTAGGGTGAAAGAAACTTTGCCCATTTGTTTCTGCCTCGTGCGGGAATCGAACCCGCGCCACAGAATTACGAGTCCTGCGCGCTATCCACCAGGCTATCCACCTGGCTATCCACCAGGTGTGTGTGTGTGTGTGTGTGTGTGTGTGTGTGTGTGTGTGTGTGTGTGTGTGTGTGTGTGTGTGTGTGTGTGTGTGTGTGTGTGTGTGTGTGGGTGCGTGCGTGCGTGCGTGCGTGTGTGTGTGCATCCGTGTGTACGCAGGAGCATGCTTGCACAAGCACCCGTTATGTAAACTGCTAAACGTCACCATTTGCTGTGATTACCACAGACAAACGTCGCCAACCATAACAACACATGCACAGAAAAACAGTGGAATCAGCTGGCAGTCGTCAGCGGTCCGCACAGCGCACCCGTCCCTCACCCCCCCCTCCCCCCTCCCCCACAGAGCCAGCACCTGCTGGTGTAAATCATTTACAACTGGATACTAAACGATCGTAAAAGAAGTCCTACTCTCCGAAGGTGTGGGGGAGACGTGGACAACCCTCTCCCGCTAGTCTTGCCTTGCTTCTTGCAAGATCTTCTGGGCTCTTGCAAGATCTTCTGGGCTCTTGCAAGATTTCTGGGCTCTTGCAAGATCTTCTGGGCTCTTGCAAGATCTTCTGGGCTCTTGCATCTTCTGGGCTCTTGCAGATCTTCTGGGCTCTTGCAAGATCTTCTGGGCTCTTGCAAGATCTTCTGGGCTCTTGCAAGATCTTCTGGGCTCTTGCAAGATCTTCTGGGCTCTTGCAAGATCTGGGCTCTTGCAAGATCTTCTGGGCTCTTGCAAGATCTTCTGGGCTCTGCGAGATCTTCTGGGCTCTTGCAAGATCTTCTGGGCTCTTGCAAGATCTTCTGGGCTCTCTGGCGAGATCTTCTGGGCTCTTGCAAGATCTTCTGGGCTCTTGCAAGATCTTCTGGGCTCTTGCAAGATCTTCTGGGCTCTTGCTTGGGCTCTTGCAAGATCTTCTGGGCTCTTGCAAGATCTTCTGGGCTCTTGCAGATCTTCTGGGCTCTTGCAAGATCTTCTGGGCTCTTGCAAGATCTTCTGGGCTCTTGCAAGATCTTCTGGGCTCTTGCAAGATCTTCTGGGCTCTTGCAAGATCTTCTGGGCTCTTGCAAGATCTTCTGGGCTCTTGCAAGATCTTCTGGGCTCTTGCAAGATCTTCTGGGCTCTTGCAAGATCTTCTGGGCTCTTGCAAGATCTTCTGGGCTCTTGCAAGATCTTCTGGGCTCTTGCAAGATCTTCTGGGCTCTTGCAAGATCTTCTGGGCTCTTGCAAGATCTTCTGGGCTCTTGCAAGATCTTCTGGGCTCTTGCAAGATCTTCTGGGCTCTTGCAAGATCTTGCATGTAAATCCCTGTCGAGGCCAGATGTAAATCACTCCCCAGTCTTGGCGGGGGGGGGGGGGGGGTTGCAGGGGGGGGGAGGTAACCTGGGGGGGGGGAAGACGAGGCAACTATCAGGAGAAAGAGCCAAGCCATTGCACACGGGGAAAGTGTCAGGATAAGGAATTGGGATGGGGGGGGGGTAAGGGATAGTGTCCAGCCATTTGGACAGTCGGGGAATTGAACGCCGACCTGCATGAAGCGAGGCCGTCGCTCTACCGTTCATCTCCCCCTCTACCGTGAGGGAGATGGGGGGAGTCTTTGACGGATGTGGCTCCTAGCTGTGGTCCGTGGGTCCTGGCTGTGGTCCGTGGGTCCTAGCTATGGTCCGTGGGATCAACCTGATCAACCTGATCAACCAGGCTGTGACTCATACGTCAGGCTGCGAGCAGCCGCGTCTAACAGCCTGGTTGATCAGTCCAGCAACCAGGAGGCCTGGTCGACGACCGGGCCGCGGGGACACTAAGCCCCGGAAGCACCTCAAGGTAGCCTCAAGGTAGGTGGGTCCTGGCTGTGGTCCGTGGGTTCTAGCTGTGGTCCGTGGGTCCTGGCTGTGGTCCGTGGGTTCTAGATGTGGTCTGTGGGTCCTGGCTGTGGTCCGTAGGTCCTGGCTGTGGTCCGTGGGTCCTAGCTGTGGTTCGTGGGCCCTAGCAGTGGTCCGTGGGTCCTAGCTGTGGTCCGTGGGTCCTAGCTGTGGTCCGTGGGTCCTAGCTGTGGTCTGTGGGTCCTACCTGTGGTTCGTGGGTCCTAGCTGTGGTCTGTGGGTCCTAGCTGTGGTCCGTGGGTCCTAGCTATGGTCCGTGGGTCCTGGCTGTGGTCCGTGGGTCCTAGCTGTGGTCTGTGGGTCCTAGCTGTGGTCCGTGGGTCCTAGCTATGGTCCGTGGGTCCTGGCTGTGGTCCGTGGGTCCTAGCTGTGGTCCGTGGGTCCTAGCTATGGTCCGTGGGTCCTAGCAGTGGTCCGTGGGTCCTAGCTGTGGTCCGTGGGTCCTGGCTGTGGTCCGTGAGTCCTAGCTATGGTCCGTGGGTCCTGGCTGTGGTCCGTGGGTCCTAGCTATGGTCCGTGGGTCCTAGCTATGGTCCGTGGGTCCTAGCAGTGGTCCGTGGGTCCTAGCTGTGGTCCGTGGGTCCTAGCTATGGTCCGTGGGTCCTAGCAGTGGTCCGTGGGTCCTAGCTGTGGTCCGTGGGTCCTAGCTATGGTCCGTGGGTCCTAGCTGTGGTCCGTGGGTCCTGGCTGTGGTCCGTGGGTCCTAGCTGTGGTCCGTGGGTCCTAGCTATGGTCCGTGGGTCCTAGCTGTGGTCCGTGGGTCCTAGCTGTGGTCCGTGGGTCCTGGCTGTGGTCCGTGGGTCCTAGCTGTGGTCCGTGGGTCCTGGCTGTGGTCCGTGGGTCCTAGCTATGGTCCTAACAAAATTTGTGTAGATTTGCACACAAAAATTACATATATTACAAATCTCAGCCAATATTTTTGGAAGAGATTTTCAAGTAATATTAAAGGGAAAAAATATTGATTTGTTTCCTTTAAATACTACATGTGATAAAATACTGAATAAGTATGACGGGATCGAACCTGCGTCCCTATACGCCAATCCACGACTATCATGTTACCCGGTAATATATTCCATAAATTAACAGCTCAACTTCCAAACCAGTATTTACCCCAGGTCTTTCCAGAATTTATATCTAGTTTATATATATTGTTTCAAGGGGCGCACGTTCGATCCTATTGCGATGTCTCAATTTCTTCTTACAGTGTTACGTTCTAGTCATTTAATGGTGTATAACACAGTATACTCGTTGTATGTTGTATACTGTTGTATCGCCCTCACCCACCTGTTTGTGTATGGTAATTACAGCCATACAACTGTATTAATGAACTGCTTTATATTCCAGGTGAGTGTGAGCAGCGAACTGTGATCGTCTGACTGTATTAAGGTAACCCCTGGCTGTATTAAGGTAACCCCTGGCTGTATTAAGGTAACCCCTGGCTGTATTAAGGTAACCCCTGGCTGTATTAAGGTAACCCCTGGCTGTATTAAGGTAACCCCTGGCTGTATTAAGGTAACCCCTGGCTGTATTAAGGTAACTCCTGGCTGTATTAAGGTAACCCCTGGCTGTATTAAGGTAACCCCTGGCTGTATTAAGGTAACCCCTGGCTGTATTAAGGTAACCCCTGGCTGTATTAAGGTAACCCCCGGCTGTATTAAGGTAACCACCGGCTGTATTAAGGTAACCCCTGGCTGTATTAAGGTAACCACCGGCTGTATTAAGGTAACCCCTGGCTGTATTAAGGTAACCCCTGGCTGTATTAAGGTAACCCCTGGCTGTATTAAGGTAACCCCTGGCTGTATTAAGGTAACCCCTGGCTGTATTAAGGTAACTCCTGGCTGTATTAAGGTAACCCCTGGCTGTATTAAGGTAACCCCTGGCTGTATTAAGGTAACTCCTGGCTGTATTAAGGTAACCACCGGCTGTATTAAGGTAACCCCTGGCTGTATTAAGGTAACCCCCTGGCTGTATTAAGGTAACCCCAGGCTGTATTAAGGTAACCCCAGGTTGTATTAAGGTAACCCCTGGCTGTATTAAGGTAACCCCCTGGCTGTATTAAGGTAACCCCAGGCTGTATTAAGGTAACTCCAGGCTGTATTAAGGTAACCCCAGGCTGTATTAAGGTAACCCCTGGCTGTATTAAGGTAACCCCAGGCTGTATTAAGGTAACCCCAGGCTGTATTAAGGTAACCCCCTGGCTGTATTAAGGTAACCCCAGGCTGTATTAAGGTAACTCCAGGCTGTATTAAGGTAACTCCAGGCTGTATTAAGGTAACCCCAGGCTGTATTAAGGTAACCCCCTGGCTGTATTAAGGTAACCCCAGGCTGTATTAAGGTAACTCCAGGCTGTATTAAGGTAACCCCAGGCTGTATTAAGGTAACCCCTGGCTGTATTAAGGTAACCCCAGGCTGTATTAAGGTAACCCCAGGCTGTATTAAGGTAACCCCCTGGCTGTATTAAGGTAACCCCAGGCTGTATTAAGGTAACTCCAGGCTGTATTAAGGTAACTCCAGGCTGTATTAAGGTAACCCCAGGCTGTATTAAGGTAACCCCCTGGCTGTATTAAGGTAACCCCAGGCTGTATTAAGGTAACTCCAGGCTGTATTAAGGTAACCCCAGGCTGTATTAAGGTAACCCCAGGCTGCATTAAGGTAACCCCTGGCTGTATTAAGGTAACCCCCTGGCTGTATTAAGGTAACTCCAGGCTGTATTAAGGTAACCCTCTGGCTGTATTAAGGTAACCCCAGGCTGTATTAAGGTAACTCCAGGCTGTATTAAGGTAACCCTCTGGCTGTATTAAGGTAACCCCAGGCTGTATTAAGGTAACCCCTGGCTGTATTAAGGTAACTCCTGGCTGTATTAAGGTAACTCCAGGCTGTATTAAGGTAACCCCTGACTGTATTAAGGCAACCCCAGGCTGTATTAAGGTAACCCCTGGCTGTATTAAGGTAACTCCTGGCTGTATTAAGGTAACTCCTGGCTGTATTAAGGTAACCTCTGACTGTATTAAGGTAACCCCAGGCTGTACCCACACTCGCAGACTGGAGGCGCTTGTTCAGTTGCTAATTGGCACCAAACAACCTAGTAATCACGAACCCCAAGGACGTAATTATCTTAATTATCTCCTGTTATTATTACTTGTGAGTTATTGCTGTGATTATTGCTATTGTTCCTGTTACTTCGTTTATCAGTGGTTTTTGGACGCTCAAATTTATTTACATTTTATCGTTATTTGTCTACGTTAATTTGTGTTACATTCCCTTGGACAGTGTCCAAGATGGGCGCTGGTTCGACGTCGGAGTGACGGTCAGTCAACGTTGATGACGTCGACTTGTGGGTGATCTGACGGTCAGTCAACGTTGATGACGTCGACTTGTGGATGATCTGACGGTCAGTCAACGTTGATGACGTCGACTTGTGGGTGATCTGACGGTCAGTCAACGTTGATGACGTCGACTTGTGGATGATCTGACGGTCAGTCAACGTTGATGACGTCGACTTGTGGGTGATCTGACGGTCAGTCAACGTTGATGACGTCGACTTGTGGGTGATCTGACGGTCAGTCAACGTTGATGACGTCGACTTGTGGGTGATCTGACGGTCAGTCAACGTTGATGACGTCGACTTGTGGGTGATCTGCGGTGTAGTTTTGGAATTGTGGCCATTGTGGTGTTTGGTTGACAGTTGGGTTGTTTACCGTCGCCTTGACCACTAAATTTGGTCTATTGCTCCTCTTGCTCTGAAACTTTATTCTCCACCCTGCTCTACCTCCTCCACCCTGCTCTACCTCCTCCACCCTGCTCTACCTCCTCCACCCTGCTCTACCTCCTCCACCCTGCTCTACCTCCTCCATCCTGCTCTACCTCCTCCACCCTGCTCTACCTCCTCCACCCTGCTCTACCTCCTCCACCCTGCTCTACCTCCTCCACCCTGCTCTACCTCCTCCACCCTGCTCTACCTCCTCCACCCTGCTCTACCTCCTCCACCCTGCTCTACCTCCTCCACCCTGCTCTTCCTCCTCCACCCTGCTCTTCCTCCTCCACCCTGCTCTACCTCCTCCACCCTGCTCTTCCTCCTCCACCCTGCTCTTCCTCCTCCACCCTGCTCTACCTCCTCCACCCTGCTCTTCCTCCTCCACCCAGTTCTTCTTCCTCCACCCTGCTCTACCTCCTCCACCCTGCTCTTCCTCCTCCACCCTGTTCTTCCTCCTCCACCCTGCTCTTCCTCCTCCCCTGCCTCCTCCTCCACCCTGCTCTACCTCCTCCACCCTGCTCTACCTCCTCCACCCTGCTCTTCCTCCTCCACCCTGCCACCCTCCTCCACCCTGCTCTACCTCCTCCACCCTGCTCTACCTCCTCCACCCTGCTCTACCTCCTCCACCCTGCTCTACCTCCTCCACCCTGCTCTTCCTCCTCCACC